CCCGCATCCCCCCCCCAGAATAGACTGGGGGTCTCCCGCGGCTTTCTGAGACAGGCACGGGGGGCAACAGTGTCCCCAGGGAGGACAGGGAGCTGAGCTGGGGACAGTGTGATGGGGAGAAGGCAGGGAAGCAGCTCCCTGAACCGCCCTGGGGCTTTGCCTCGGGGCAGGTGATGGAGAGATCCCGTTTCCGAGGGGGTTTGGGTCCTCCCTGAGGGGTTTTGGGTCCTCCCTGAGGGGTTTTGGGTCCTCTCCGGGGGGGTTTGGGTCCTCTCCGGGAGGTTTTGGGTCCTCTCCGGGGGAACGTGCCTGTGAGGAGGAGCTGGGGACGACGACGTTGCCCCCTCCAGGCAGAGGAACTGGGGGGCTGTGGAGCCTTCCCAGCGTTGCTGCAGCGATAGGCGGGGGTGCTCTGGGAGGAGGAGGAGGGACCGTCAGGGCCCTGCTCGTGGGTTTTTGGGTCCTTTCTGAGGGGTTTTGGGTCCTCCCCGAGGGGTTTTGGGTCCTCCCTGAGGGGTTTTCGGTCCTCTCCGGGGGGTTTTGGGTCCTCCCTGAGGGGTTTTGGGTCCTCTCCGGGGGTTTTGGGTCCTTCCTGAGGGGTTTGGGTCCTCCCCGAGGGGTTTTGGGTCCTCTCCGGGGGGTTTGGGTCCTTTCCGGGGGTTTTTGGGTCCTCGCCGAGGGGTTTTGGGTCCTCGCCGAGGGGGTTTGGGTCCTCTCCGAGGGGGTTTGGGTCCTTCCTGAGGGGTTTGGGTCCTTCCTGAGGGGGTTTGGGTCCTCCCCGAGGGGGTTTGGGTCCTCCCTGAGGGGTTTGGGTCCTCCCTGAGGGGTTTTGGGTCCTCTCCGGGGGGTTTTGGGTCCTCTCCGGGGGTTTTGGGTCCTCCCCGAGGGGTTTTGGGTCCTCTCCGGGGGAACGTGCCTGTGAGGAGGAGCTGGGGACGACGACGTTGCCCCCTCCAGGCAGAGGAACTGGGGGGCTGTGGAGCCTTCCCAGCGTTGCTGCAGCGATAGGCGGGGGTGCTCTGGGAGGAGGAGGAGGGACCGTCAGGGCCCTGCTCGCTGAGAGGGTTTCTCCCTTGTTTTAATACGAAACAGTCCCGGCTATGAAAGCTGCGTTTCCGCTTCTCTGCCCTCTTTCATGCTTATAAAACGGGACTTTGTGGGCTTAAAAAGAAAGAGGGAAAAGAAAAAAAAACAAAACCAAAGGGTTTCTAACCCAGGAATCCCTCCCTCCTGGAAAGCAGATGCCCCTTGCCAAGTTTCAGCCCGAGGCCGTTTTTCTGGCCTCTTTCAAACCCCCCCAGAAGAGGTGCTGCGGGTGGCAAAGCTGGTGTGTAAAAGCTGAGTGGATGCAGGGAAGGGCTGCAAGACACCCAGGTTCCCAAAACCCAACCCACCCCCTGCAGCCTGCCAGGACCAAACTTCACCCCCTGCTTGCTTTTAACCTCTCGTTTTAGAAACTCAAGCAGAAAAAAATGTGTCATTTTGTGCAGTGTATGCACAGGCAAAACCCTGAAAAGCTCCAGGCTGCACAGGGATGCAGATTCTAAGCTTTTTAGGCAAAAAAACCCTGCAGCTGGAGATCCCCTGGCTGCTGGCACTGCCCTCTTGGGGTGCTGGGGTGCAGATTCCTGTAGGGATGCAGGTGCCTGGCACCTCTGGGAGCTGAGATTGGGTTTGGAGCTGGTGGTTTAGGGAAGTAAAATATCCATCCTCTCCCTGGGAGGGGGGTTAAGGCCCCCCCCCCCCGAGTCCCATCTGGGCACATCTGGCTGGCTGGGTGTCAGGGGGAGCTTTAACCCCCCCTCTTGGGCAAGGGATGGATGTGGGGAGTTAGAGCCCCCCTCCCAGTCCATGCTCTGCCCGGGGTTGATGAGGCAGTGAAGGCAGTGACAGCAGCCCTGCCCCCCCTTCATGTCACCGAGCAAGCCCTGGGGCAAGGGATGTGGCATCATCTTGTGTCACCACCAATAAACCCAGGAGTGACAACGGGGCCCTGGCCTCGACTGTGCATCATGATGTTTCTGCCCCTCACACATGCAGTGAGTTGGGCGGTCTCAGCTTCCCACCTGTCTTGTCCTGGGGTGGTTTGTAGGACAAGGTGAGTGGAGGGTGAAGCTGCCTGCAAAGAGGATCATAGATTAGCAGCTGAGGGGAGGGACAGACAGAGGCAAAACCTCCTGCCTGCTGGTCAGGCAGAGACCTGGCAGCACTCGTCACTGCTGTGAAGCTGGGGAGGGGTCTGCAGCACAAGTGTGCCAAGGAGAAGCTGAAGGAGCTGGGGGTGTTCATCCTGGAGACCAGGAGGTGAGGGGAGACCTGCTGGCTCTGCACCTGCCTGAGAGGAGGTTGGAGAGAGGGGGGATCAGCCTCTTCTCCTAAGGAACAAGTGATAGAACAAGAGGAAATGGCCCCAGGCTGTGTCAGGAGAGCTTTAGGTTGATTCTTGGGAATAATTTCTTCATGGAAAGGGTTGTCAGGCCCAGGCTGCCCAGGGAAGTGGAGGGTTTTAAAAGCCATGTAGATGTGGTGCTGAGGGTTGTGGGTTAGTTCTGGCCTTGGCAGTGCTGGGTGAATGGTTGGAATGGATGGTCTTAAAGGTCTTATCCAGCCAAAAATTATTCTATCAGCCCCTCCTCCCTCACCTCAGCACCTCCACCCCCGAGGCACAATTTGGGACAGCCTGGCCAGGGGCCGGAGGGAGAAGAGGGGCTGAGAGTGTTGGGCAAAGCAGAATTCTAGGGTCAAAGACATTTTCTAGCTGAGGCTTTTATATTTCATTTTAGCTCTTTGTCTGAGTGCCCTGATGCAAAATCTCATCTTTCAAAGAGCAAGACTAAAATAAATACATACACACACACAC